ACACACCCGACATCACCCACACACAGCTGATCCATAGCCAACTCGGCCGATGTGTGGCCATCGGTGGTCAGCGCGTTGTCCACAGAGATATCGCGGCGAAAGTAGTTGTTTTCGGTGGTCATCGCTGCCGTTGACATCACTTTCATCTGATCTGACGTTTCAATTGTCAGTAAACAGTGTTTTGGTGTCAATATTACACAACACGTGCTGACAGTTGGTGTCAAACAGTGTTAACCCTACGCTTGTGTTTACCATAAACTGAATGGAGGTTTGATTTGCAGTTAACCTGTTTTTACGGCTAATTATTTTGCCGGCGTTTATGAATGAGTGGTACAGTCGACTCCCCTTATAATTAACACTTTATCACATTATTTTTAGTGTACTTTGAATGGATTTTTAATTAAATTTTAATCGCTGTGTTCATTATACAAGGGAAATTAATTAAATTAAAAACATTTTCCTAAAATATTTTTAATTAAAATAACTTTTAAGTCAAATATTTATCAAACAAAACAAACAAAAACTTTTTCTCATGCAGACATACATCACATACACTGTATGTGATACAGTGTACACACGTGGGTACGTCACTGGCATGTCTAGCATACGTTGAAATTCAATACCTGTGCAGTCATACACTGACACACCGGTGGTTACGCCACTTATGAGTGAGCAATGGGTAGACAAACGTCGTGTCAGTACAGCATTGGCTCTAAGTTTAATTGAAACGGCGATACAAAACCATATGAAACGGTAGTATTGGTGTTGTTGTAGGCATTCATTGCATAACATATTTTGCATTTCCATTGCAAGCCATACACCGATCATAATGTCTACACATTTGTAGTGAATGTGTCGCTAATTAAAGCATTCATTTGTGTGCAACTTATCATTAGTTTTACATTTATTTTTACGTATTTTTTAAACGCAACAAATAAGACATGGGTAACTTTGTGGTCGACTCGTTAGGGCTGAGCGATGTACTCAAAATGGACAAACGCCAGGTCAGTCACCAACTACCTGTCCTCCACCACCACCACTACCAGCCCCCATACCTGTGTTAATACACGTGTTATGTTTGCATTGCATTTAAATATATCTAATAATTGTATTGTGTTTTGCATGTATTTCCCATTGCATGTATCATCTAATACGGCACCGGTAGCTGTTATACCAGATCCTCAACTTTGGTATGATTGTGTCGACAGCCCTTATGATCTGGAAGGGACTCATTGTGATGACCAATAGCGAGTCGCCCATAGTCGTGGTGCTCAGGTATGTCTCGCATCCATTTCCCCCCATTTAATGGGTTAACAAATGTGTGCCGTATTTGCAGCGGAAGTATGGAACCGGCGTTTTATAGGGGAGACCTACTGTTCCTCACCAATCACAGGGATGAGCCCATACGGGTGGGCGATATTGTCGTGTTTAAGATCGAGGGCCGGGAGATACCTATTGTGCACCGGGTGCTCAACTTGCACGAGAAGTATGCCATGATTTGTGTGTTTTTGTGGTCACATTGTATTGATTTTCATGAATACCTTTCCCGTGGGATAGAGAGGACGGCTCCATCAAAGTGCTCACCAAAGGCGACAATAATCGAGACCACGATCGGGGTCTCTACGCGCCCGGACAGCTCTGGCTCCAGCACAAGGACATCGTAGGCCGCGCCAAAGGGTTGGCCTACTTTTGTTACGCTGTTTTTGTTTCATCACAGTTTGTGTT